CCCCCCACCCCGAAGTTCATGCAATATGTCTTGATTGGTCAAAGGCTTTCGACAAAGTTCCTCATTTTACTTGCCTCTGCAAACTTAAATCAATTGCGATTGTTGGGGAAATGCACATGTGGAATTTTTATTTCCTTCTGCATCGTACTCAAATTGTTATTTTTAGTGGAGAATGCTCTCTGCCTGTTTTTGTTCAATCTGGTGTCACTCAGGGTTCCATACTGGGGCCGCTTCTTTTTATCCTGTTTAGTAAATTGCAAAACGTTGTTTCATCTCCACCTCAATTTTCATGTATGCAGATGATACTGTTATTTTTAGGTCCATTTCTTCTGAGGAAGATGCCATCAAGCTGCAATCTGAATCCACGCCAAGAGTGAGCAAACTTTCACTCACTATGTATAATAGTTTATGTCTTCCCATATTAGAGTATGCGTCCCCAGTATGGAACCCCATATGGAATGTGATATTGTCAGGATTGGATGACTTGTTCTCTTAGGATTGGGGATATTGGATAAATCTCCTATGAGCACCGGATTGCCGAATTAGGTTTTGTTTCTCTAAAAAAAAAAACGTTGGAAAGTCATCGATATGTGTTTTTTCTTTAAATTGTTCATAAGCCCAATTTTTAACATCATTTTGTTTGACTTCATCCTAAATGTAAGAAAAGAATATCATACTCTTTGTAATAGAAATCCCCGATGCAACGAACTTGCTCATTCTTTTTCTCATAGAATTATTGACTGTTCGAATTGCCTTCCTTTACATGTGCATAATAGTAATTTTAATTTATTTAAGAAATTTGTTTAGGAATTGTTGATATAACTTTCTTGTTTCACTGTACGTTCGAATTGCCTTTCTTTACATGTGCATAATGGTAATTTTAATTTATTTAAGAAATTTGTTTAGGAATTGTTGATTTAACTTTCTTGTTTCACTGTACGTTTTGCTGATGAATGCATGTGGATCCCAACCATTTATTGTACAGGAACTCCGTTCCTTTTGGTATGCCAGCCTCCCCACTCACCAGCAATCTGCATACTCTTTGTTTTAATGGATTTTTTTTTCTTTCAATTTTAATGTTTTAATCTTGCATTGTATATACTTATATATTTTATGGAGGAAATAGATATAATAATAATAACAAAACGACGATGTTTTTAAAGGTATAATGTTTATTCATTTTAGGCTAAAAAATATCCTTGCGCAATGTTAAAGCTTCTTCTCTAAGAAGAAATAACAACTTAAAAGACGTTTAAGTTAGAATAGCGGGATCGACTTAGTGATAGTTCGTAAGAGTCTATTTCTATAAACTATGCGGGACGAAATATTTGTACATTTTGCATTTAACTTTTACCTTTGGGTATTGCAAATGCACAATTCTATTGTGTAGGTACCGTAGTTGGTACAGTATTCAATAAGCTATTGTAAAAGATCTATTCCATTGATTTTGATATGCACTTAACATTTTTACAGGAATTTCGATGTGTTACAGTAATGGTTACGTTTTATATAATAAAAAAGTATGGTAACTATAATTATAATTGTGATTGTAATAATTACTATTCAGTAGGTAAATGTATTTATATAGGAAGTCAAACATCTGATGGTTTACATAATCATTTCGTGACGATTAGTGAGGGCGGACGCCAAACCTAAGCCTGAATAAATCTTACCAATATTACTAATATTTTTAATAACACACAAACTAAACACGCCTTCAATAACAGAAATTAAATAATCTCATACATTTGGAGTTGTAACTTACACTGCACGATTACGTCACAAAAAAATCAAATAACTGTAAACTAATTGTTTACAATTTGTTATTATTATCATTTCAATTATTATTATTAATACAATTGTTTGGAGGTTTGCATGACAAATGAATAATATATTAATAATGCTTGCAGTACACCACGTTGATAATTCTGAGAAGAACTGTCATTTTTGTTGAGAAGACTCGACGTTTCGATTGGGTTGCTGCAATCGACATCAGGAGAATTATATCCGAAAAGGGGCATACATATTTAATTGGAAATTGAGAACTTGCTTCTGATTGCTGAACAACTATAGAGTTAAAATGTATTATTAATTATAGCATTATTATCAATATTATCAAATATCATTATTGTTATATTATGTTTATTCATGCAAAACAAACATACTAAATTAGTAAAAATAAGCAGTGCGTTGTGGGTCAAAATTCAAAGAAACAGCATCTACGGTTATAACATAGAAATAAATAATATGCAAGTACAGTAAACATCAAAATACCATTTACAATATGATTTTATTGACTGAATAATAATATAAATCTATCTCCGTTGGCAGACATAATATATAAACATAAACAAGATATAACCATTGTTAGATATAAAAAATGGTTGAACAATGGTTAAATGTAAAATGTTAAATATACAAAATGTTAATATATAATTTAATAATATACATTGCATTGATATACAGAATAATAAATAGTATAACTAAAATACTGATAACATTTACATATTTAACAATTATTTACAAGGCAATACACTTAAGTTTACATTCTCTTGACAGCCTACATCAACGGTTACAAATCATTATCATCATCAAATAAGTTAATGAAAAAGGGAGATAAAATAACACAATTAAACGAAGTCTTAACTTTTATGATGAAGTTTTTACATCTTCACGTAAAAAAATGAAGTATGCAATCAACGTTACAGACTGGCTTGTGCGCATTCGCTTGGACACGAAAATACGTTATGATTAAATAGAACTAAATTTATCTTCTGACAATTTACGGTATCCATTATACTGAGTACATATTGACACTTCTTTTTATGTAACGAAGCCACATTTATTTTAGTACACATTTAAACAAATTAAGTTAGCCATTTGACATACAATTAATAGGTAACACTTATTACTACTACTTGTTTTAGACAATAATGTCTTTTAAACTACTTCTTACATTTATTTTGGTCAGAAACGTGTAGAGAAGGCAGAACTTTAAATCATAATCAAAAGACATTGTCGGTAAGCATAAAATACTAGCGAATAATAATACTGATTATGACAAGCAGAATTATTCACTTGGATCTAATATAAATTAAAAAGAAAACCATCCATCATTACGTTTTGAAATTGTGATGGATCATATAAACGAATGTTTGTACAGACGGTAGGCCTACATTATTATGCCTACATTATTATAAACATATTTGAAAATAACATACAGATATATACAATGATTACATGTACATTATAATCTAATTAAGTTAAATTACATTATTTCACATATCCTATAAACAGAACATCCATAATGCTTTGCTAAGAAATTCAAATAATAGACAGAGACACGTTTGTGATACACAAAATCTGACCTCAACATCATCTCACCGTGGTTTCAAAAGTTCGTTAATACTAAACTTCAGGCAGTTGTAGCTCATGGGCGTCTGTATTGATGGTGTCTTGATTTGTCTTGTCTTCGACAAAAATGTTTTTCGAGTTGGTCCTGTTGATGAGCTGCGAAGATGCATTACATTAGCTGCACGTGTCATGGCGGTAGTTGGTATTTGTGACGCTGTTCTCATCCATTTTCTGTATGTGTCAGTAGTGACCGGATACTCTTCTCCATCAAAGACGGCTGTGCAGGGTAATTCGTGCTGCCAGCCATCCACTAGGCGGTATTGGTATCTTCCCATTTTTACGATGTAGGGAGATTCGGTGAGAACACGACGAATGTTCTTCTTTGCGTTAATTGAATGAGCCTTTCTATGGCTAATGTTGCAGATGATAAGAAACAGGTCCCGGACACAACCAATGTGATTTGGACGTTTAAGTAAAGAGGTGACTACCAGTTCCTTGAAAGACAA